TTTTTTTTTTTTTTTTTTTTTTTTTTTTTTTTTTTGGTGCCGTAGACGTCGTGCCGTCGTTGCCAACTTGTCACGCCGTAGGCCGTAGATGTGTTTTTGTATCGTGTCTTAGAGAATGTGGGGAGATGTGTTTATGTTTTCTGTTTTAGCACAGGTGTGGCGGTGTCCCATAACTTCTTTGGTGGTGCCTCCGCATGGTGTGGTAACCCACAACATTACAAAAGAAGGTGAGGGTTACAAGGCAATCCACTATGTTCACAATCCAAGGGCATTCCTCATTGACATGAATTGAGGTGAGTTCAACTATGCAAGTATGTTGAACTGTCCTCAATGTCGTCAAAGAGACTCAGGGTCTCGTTAGACACTCCTAAAAGAATCCTAAAAGATTTAGGACGAGTCCTAAAAGTTTTTTAGGATTTCGCACGGCGTCGTTACACGCAATCCTAAAAATCGTCTTTTAGGAATCGTCCTAAAAGGTTTCCCGCGGCCCGTTTTCATACACGTATACGCAGCCRCGTCGCGGATGTCCGTCCAGTCCTGGCTGGTGTCCGTGGTCCACACTGCGGTGGGGCTTGGGCGGCTGCCGACGGGTTGGTGAAGCGCGCGGTTGCCGAGACCTTCAAAATTTGAAATTCGAATTTTGGCGGACGCAGGCTGGCGGGCTGGAGGACGGCAAGGCGACGCGTGTGACGTACAAGACACGGCGGTGGCGGCCGCTTCGCCGTGGGTAACCAGCTTTGCTGTACGCGGGAATTGTGAGGCGCGCGGCGCATCTTCCTGCTCGGCGCATCTTCACGTACGGACGTGCCGTCGCCTTCGTTGTGGAAGCGTAGAGCAGCGGGCGCATCTTCGGCATCGCGCTTCTTCCATCTCCTGTGGTAGTGCATAGCTGCGGGACGTCTACGGGTCACACAGTGTGCGTGGTGTCCAGTGGCAACGCTGAGCAGCGGGCGTGTCTTGAGCGGTTGTGGCAGGAGCGAAGGTGTAGTGGGTAAGCGATTTGCGGAGATGGACGGCGGAGGCTGCGGCCACTGTCTGCGGGCGGAAGAGATGGAGGCGGTGGCGATGGCGGTGTCTACCGTCGTCCTGAAGACGATGAACGAGATGTCGTCGTCGTCACGAGACGTGGCGAAGCAGCTCCGTACACGACGAGCGTTGTTGCAGAGCGTTGCTGAAGCGGCGGATTGCGTGGCGACGTGTGAGGCAGTGGTCCAGTTGTGTGCCGCGCTGTCGTCTGGCGTTTTCCCCCGGCAGACCCCGCGATGGTGGATCAAACGACGTACTGGCGGAACATGGGAGGACCTCCGGCAAAGCGATGACGCCACGGACGAGTACTACCGCCAAAAGTTGTGCATGTCGATGGCCATGTTCAAGCAGATTGTAGCCGCTCTCGCCGCGTTCGTGGAGAAGAAGGTCACGCACTACAGAACGCCATTGCCAGCGGAGCAGGTTATCGCTTTCGCGTTGTACAGGTGGGCGTCCGGGGAGACGTACGAGAGTGGCACTTCAGCTTTCGGCATCGGCAGGGCCACTGGACTGCAGGCCGTCCGCGACGTCACTTCGGCGCTGCTGCGGGCGTACCCCGACGCCATCAAGTGGCCAGTGGGCCGTAGACGTGCGCAGATTCTCTGCGCTTTCCGTGACAAGGGATTCCCGAACTGCTTCGGCGCCATCGACTGCACACACATCTACATCGACAAGCCCGCCGACGCACCTTCTGCCAACTACTACGACCGCAACCACAAGTTCTCCGTGCAGGCGCAGGTCATCGTGGATTTGGATCTCCGGATCCTAGAAGTCCACGTCGGATACCCGGGGAGTGTGCACGACGTCCGCGTCCTGCACAATTCCCAGCTCTGGAGGCGCGCGCAGACTGGCGAGCTCTTCGACGCAGCTCCAGAGAATTTGCCGCACGGTGTCGTCACACGAGGGTACCTGCTGGGTGACAACAGTTATCCCGTTGCCTGTCCATGGATCGTGCAGCCGTATGGAGGAATAGACCAAGGTCCTGACGAGGAGCGCTTCGACAACCGGCAGAAGGTGGCGCGGCGGGTGTGTGGAGAGGGCGTTCGGCCGACTGAAGTGCATGTGGCGTCTGTTCTTGCGCACCCACAAGACGAACCTGGAAACATTGCCACAGCAGTTCGTCGCCGTCTGCACTCTCCACAACATCCTCCTCGATGCGGGGATCGACTTCGATGAGAACCTGTTATGGGAGGTGGGTCCGGACGGCGTCAGGCGCAGAGTGGACTTGGGCATTGTCAGGGGCGGCGGAGGCGGGCGGCCACAGAGCTCCAACGTCGAGGGGGAGTTGTTGCGGAACGCACTTCGCGACCGCCTGGCTTTGATGTAGGCCCTCGCGGAGAGAGAGAGAGAGAGAGAGAGAGAGAGAGAGAGAGAGAGAGAGATGGCATGGTCCGATCGGCAGGCGGGKGGKAGTGTGGCGTGCTCCGTGTCCTTCGTCGTCGTCTGCGCATGCACTGGGTGGATGTAATGGCGGCTTTGTTGTCGCCATTGAGTTATTTTTTCTATGTGTCGTCGTGCAGACAGATTTTGGTGGCTCGCACGGTTGTGCGAAGCTTTGGAATTAACCTTTTTTTTTTTTTTTTTCTCTTCGCTCATTTTCTTTTTCGTTTTGTTCCATTTTTCTTGTCTTCAACAGCGTTCGCCACCTTTTGGACATTCGTCGTGGTTCATGGAATGTTTCGTTCGGCAGCGCTGGCCATCTTTCCTTTTTTTTTTTTCTTTTTTTTTTTTCTTATTTTCTTTTTGCTGTTTGTCTTCACTCCTGATGTCATGAATGGCTTTATCTGGTCGCGTGCTGGGGAGTTATGTTGAAGGTGCGCAAACATTCCGCTTATGCGACATTCGACGTGTGTGTGACCCGTGTGCTGTGCCCAATGTGCATAACAGGAAGGACAGAAATCAAATCGTTTTTTTAAATCATAATCAACACCTGCAATACATGACCTTCCAAACAAAAACAAGCGAACAAAGAATGGTGAACTT